GAGGTCTGTAGGGGGCGTGCATAAGCGCACCAACATGCCTACTGTCTTTGTCCTATTGTTTCATGTATGTATGTATGTATTTTCTGAGGTTTTCGCGGATATTTGTATGTGGATCTTTGGTTATTCGGGTTTTCTCCTGCATAAAATTGGAAGTATCTAGGCGATGTTTCGATGAAGTCTCATCACCATCTTAAGGCTTGTGTCTTCAGGCTTCTGTCTTCGGCCTCCGAGAAGCACAAAGCCGAAGACGATGAAGATGATGAATGAGACTTCATCGAAACGTCGCCTAGATACTTCCAATTTTATGCGGGAGAAAACCCGAATAACCAAAAATCCATATATATTCTATATATATATAGAAGCCTTATGATGGCAAATGAGATTCTGCCGAAACGTTGCTACAACTTTAAAAGCACAACTACAATGACGTGGGAAAATACCCAAACAAAGCTGAATGCCATACATGTAAGTACCCGCGAAAACTTAAGAATATATATATATATATATATATATATATATATATATATATATATGGTAGCACTCAAAATTTAGGTATTTTAGTCTAATATGCTGTGAAGACTTACCCCATGTAGCTACTATTATTATTCACTCTAATATATGAACTTAGAAAACTGGGTTGCTTAAGAAAACATGATTATAAAAGAACAACCATAATCTCAAGAGCACGCCTACAAACATTACATTAATCAAAGAGTATATAATGATTCCCAGAATTAATATTTATACTACCATTGTTTTATATCTGCAGTGCAGTAATATTAAATGTATTCTTGTTTTATAATGAAATACATTGCTTTAATGTGCGAACTATCCTTTTGAGAGCAAGAATAAAATAAGCCTGATCGATCAAACAATTGGAAAGAGTGCAGATAAGAGAAACAAAGATGATTAGGGGACTGGAGGCTAAAATACATGAAGAACAATTGCAGGAACTGGGTACGTCTAGTTCAATGAAAAGAAGGACTAGGGAGACACGATAGCAATGTTCCAATAACTCAGGGGCTGCCACAAAGGAGAGGGAGTCAAGTTATTCTCCAAAGCACCTGAGGGCAGGACAAGAAGCAACGGGTGAAACTAATCAAGGAGGGAAGCATCCAGTGGTGGTATTCTACCAGTTCGGCAGAGCCGGTAGCAGCGATGAGCAGCGGAGATCGAACCAGTTCTCTCTGCTGCTCTGCTGTTGGGCCCACCTGCTCGCCTGGGCTCCCATACTCACCTTTATCTGCTGAATTTGAAGTGCAGCTGCTTTGCGTGGCACAGAAGAGTGCCATGCGGCAGCTGCTGAAGTGACCGGGATCGTGCAGGCTTGCAGGAGGAGAGTTAGAGTGCCTCTGTGCCTGAAGAAATGCCTCTGTGCCTGTGCAAATTCACATTTGGCACAAGTGCGCACACAAAGTGTGCATGTGCATAAAGTGCGCCCACCAAGCCACGCCTACTAAACCAGTTGGTAAAAATATTTGAATCCCACCACTGGAAGCAACTTAGAACTAAGGAGAAATTTCCTGACAGATAGAGCAATTAATCAGTGGGACAACTTGCCTCCAGAAGTTGTGAATATTCCAACACTGGAAGTTTTTAAGAAGAGATTGGACAACCATTTGTCTGAAGTGGTGTCGGGTTTTCTGCCTAGGCAGAGAGTTGGACTAGAAGACCTCCAGGTCCCTTCCAACTCTGTTATTCTCTTCTATTCTAATCCAAAAACTCAAAACAAATTTTCCTCAAACAAGTTTTTTTAAAATTAAATAGAAATAACCTCACAGACAAAGAGAACAGGAATCTTACTGATGAAGTCTATTAGTGAATTGGAACAAATTCTGTTAAATAGTATTCAACAGCATAAGCTTTTATCCATCAAATTTCTCCAAAGGTTATGTTTGTAATTCTTACCATGTCATTGTTAAGATGATATCAGTGTATAGGATGACAAACCTTCCCTATTAATCATCAAGGATTTAATTGTCATTTAGAAAAGGGGGATGGGGGAAGAAAAGGTTTTGAACTTAAGTTTTGCCTTTGGAAAGCCTGAAGGATGCGGGGGAGTTTTGGCAATCTTTAATTGGTTCAAGTTAACAGAGGTCCTTTCTCTCTATTCTTTCTCTCACCCATCCCCCAGCAGTCTTCTTCCTGCAGTACTTTCCTCATTATAAACACAGAGCCTTTTAAGGCAGTTGTTGCAACATGATCTAGTTCTGTGTCTTGGCTGGAAGTCAGTTTGGATGAATTACACCAAGTTTCCATTCCTAATAACACTGTGCTAACAGGCAGATGAAGACCTGCAAAAAAAAAAAATTGTAGAAAAACTTTTTTTATTTGGTGCATCTCCCATTGTACTTTTGTGCTATGCCGGTAGAGCAATCTATCTGGCACAGACGTAAACCTTCATCTGTTAAATACATCAGTGTTCTCATTCTGAAGGACTCACTTCCTCCATAAGTGGTTGAAAGTGAATACTGGGAAGTTGACCAAAGGACCATCCCCTGGTGTCAGGAGTCTAATTTCAGAAACAATTGCTAAAGTAGCCAGATACGAAAAACAAGACAGTTGCTAAAATGCTGCTCTGAATAGACCATAATGCTTTGTAGTCAAATAGTCTGTGCCTCTACAGATAAATAGCTATCTAAGTAATAGTCTGGAAACAAAGAGTTATGTGATTGTTGTTTGCAGCAGTATATTTGTAGTTAGAGTAATTCTGAAATTGTTTTAGTCAAGAGTTTGAGTTTCACTAATATTGATTGATTTAAGCTAATGAGGCTTTTTTTTGGCAAGTAAATTTATATAGAGCTTCACTATTAATCTTCCTGCATGAACACAATTTTGGCTTCTGAAACAGTGTATGTTGGAAGCCAGTTTGGTGTAGTGGTTAAGGCATCTACTGTGGGCACAAAGCCAACTGGGTCATTTTGAGCCAGTCATACTCTCTCAACTCTAGGAAAGAAGCAATGGCAAACAATTTCTCAAATTCATGCCAGGAAAAGTCAAGGACTTGTCCTGGCAATTGCCAAGAGTCAACACTAATTTGAAGACACTAAAGAAAAACAACAAAAAACCCACAGAATACATGGACTCTATTTGATAATTGTATTTATGGATTATTTGTTTTTATTGTACTTTTATCAATATTATTTTTTACTGTAAGACCCCAAGAATTCTATTCTTTGGATAGAATAGAATTCAAAGATAGAACTCATAGACAGAATTCAAAGAGTCAGTCAGTCAGTCAGTCAATCAATGTCTGTCTGTTTGTCTCTGCCTTTATCATCTGTCTGTCTATCTATCCTTACATAATGATTATGAAATATATCAGCACATTATAATTTAACAGAATGTTCTTTATGTAGAAACTCTCAGGGGAATGACAGGGGAGTAATAATGTGGCAGAAGGAATCCAAATGACCAATCTATTGTCATGAAAGGAACTAAGTCCCACTTTAGAAAATTCAGAACCGTAACTTAATTTTCTGCAATATACTACAGTTTTCAATAATATTAAATATTAAGAAAAAGTTGTGTCGCAGAGATTAGAGGTTTTCATTGTGCTTTGTGTTCCTTACCTTGTACCTATGGCAAAACCTATGGCATTGCAATATTTTCTAAACACACCCTTATTTTTTCCAGCCTTTATGTATGTAGGTATGCATGTATGTACAGGATTTAATTATTTATTTGATGTCTATACCTGTCCATATCAACTTGAAGCTGCAGAGTCTATGAAGCAACTTACTAAGCTTCTCACTAAGCTTTATAAAAGAACCAGTCCTGTTCAATAATGCATAACCAATGCTTTGGTGTAATTTGCAGTGTTGATAATAATTTAAGTTCATATTAACCTTGCCATGCTTTGTATTCTTGAAACAATTAACTATATTTTGTGTTCTCCTTCCTCTGAAAGGTTCAGGTCCAATATTTTCACTCCCAACATTACAGAATATAGGAAGCACACATTTTGCTCCTAAGAGAATCCCCAAGCATTACTAATACCTAAAAAGAGTGAAAACATATCAAAGCTTTACAGACTTGGGCAATTCTCAGAAATTTTCAGATTTTATATAAAAAGTTTTGCAGCATTTTGTGTGGTTATATGTGGGTGTGAAAGAAAGATCAGTAAAACTGCACAGTTTTCTTTAATTTCTTCTACATAGTTGACATAGAAAATCCAGCTACAGAATCTGATGGGTGGGGAAAATATACAAAGTTTGGGATGTAGGAGTATGCAAGCTGCAAAGTGAAATGAGTAGGTCAGCAAAACAACGTGAAGAGTTGATGGGACAGAGCAAGAATTCTACAACTCTATTTTTCTAAAGATCTGGTTCCCTATTACCAGATCCAAGTTGACTAATATAGGTAAACTTACAACAGTTCATATAGTGACCATTCAAAGTTACAATAGCACTGAAAAAAATGACATGATGCTTTTCACACTGAACAACCATTGCAACATCCCCATGGTCAGGTGATCAAAATTCAGATGCTTGACAACTGATTCATATTTATGACAGTCACAGTGTCCTGGGGTCATGTGATCAACTTTTGTAACCTTCTGACAAGCAAATTCAAGCCATATGCACTTAACAACCGGGTTACTAACTTAATAACTGAAGTTATTCAACTCAACAGTTGTAAAGCAAGAAAGGTTGCAAAATGGGATAAAACTGCCTTAACAAATGTCTCACTTTGCAACAGAAATTTTGGGCTCAACTGTAATCATAAATTGAGGATCACCTGTATCTTGCTGGCTATATATTATTTAGAATCTTGAAGAGGATTCCAAAATATTTCCAAACCAGTAATCCTTCTCCCCCATCTGTTCAATTTTACTCTACCCTGAACTGCCCAAATCATAGCATGGGACATTTCTAGCATTTTCTGAATTATTTTTCTTTTTCGAGTTCAAAAATTACTGGTGGACATAGTTTGGTGCCATAGATCTCTGCCTTCTACATTAGGAAGTTTTGCACAAACAGAAAAACAATTTGATCTCTCTCTTTTCACTCCACTTACACCAATGGCTTTTGTTTATCCATTGTGAATCTTGTCCTTTAACTTATAACATTTAGTAATTTTAAGAAAATGTTTTCTTCACTCACCTGACTTTCTTGGCTGCTGTTTTCATTACCCATTTCAACAGGAAAATATCAGAGTCAACCTTTGCATTAAGAATACCAGCTGAAAGAAACAAACAGTCATCAGGGATTTTCCAATAGTGAGGGAAAATAGCAACCCAAGAAGAAAATAATCTGCTTTGTGCCTCCCTGACCTCCCTCTCCATAGAAATTTTCCCCAAGCCTAGCAGGTATGTGCTTGAAAAGATAGCTTCACATTACAGATCTAACTTCTGCCAATCATTGTTTTGAAGTTCTTCTTTGCTCAGTCCCATATGGCAGCTGGGAGCAATCATAGACACTTGTAGGCTCATGACTATCCTCAGGATGACAAGTCAAAGCAAAAAAGAAGAAAAATGGGCCCACCCGCCCCCCACACACAACAAAGACTATCATCATATTCGTACAACTTTACTCCATCAGGTCTTTGGGGGAGTAGAGTGAAGTGACATACTTTTGACAACACCACAAAGGGGAAATTGATAAACGTTGGACTTTTAAATGAATAATTTGGCAAGATTTTTTGGGCTTGACCCCTTGCAAGTACGGACTCTAGGCAACACAATATCTTTACCCACCTCTGTTATTACTTAACTTATTTGCTACATCTGTCACTGCCTATATTCAAAGGCTAGATTGGACAAGAAGCTAAGACCAAACTACTCCATTACAATAACAATACACACGAGTTAATTTCTCCTTCGATCCCAAAGTGAGATGTGCTTCTTTCTCCTATTTATGCAATGTAAGATTTTAATTTGATTTTTGTTTATGTATAGGTCAAGGACCTTACATTCTGTCATACTTTTTCATAACAGTTATTTTAGTTCTTCTTTTTGCAAAAAAAAATCTAGCTTATCAAAACCCGAACTCTTGAATTATAGTCTGCAATTTTTCTTGTTCAGTATCAGTTGAAACAGCCAGACACAATAGCTGGAAATTGCTTCTGATAACAAGTTCATGCCAAGTTTTCCAAGTATTGAAGTCTGTAACCAGTGCACAATGTAGATATATATATATATATAAGTTCAATATAGCAGTAAGATTATTCAAGAGTTGGGAGAATGGCCATTGAAATAGTATGAATATGTCTGAAACAGACTCATATTTGAAACACAGATTCAGTCATAATTAAATTTAACATGGAAACCATGCTTGGACTATGATTCCAAATTCCACAGACTTGTTTTCCTTGTCTGCTATTACCTTGAGTAAATTAATAATTTCTATGGCAGCTATGTGTGTACTTGTATAATTGAAACAGGACAGAAGCAGGACACTCTGCAACCTTTTACCTTTCCACTTAATTCAAATAGAATTTTGGAAAATACAAAATTAGGGGGGGCGGGGGTGGGGGGGGAAACAGAGAGATTAATTAAACAAAAAAGCAGGTATCTGCCAGCCATCGATGCTATATTAAGGACCTACTAGACAGTCAAAGCATATCATCGTTTCTGAGTTCTTTGGTCTTCTTGAAGTTATTGGTGAGCGAGAATCAAATATAGAATTAACACTGCCATACTAGCTTGCATATTGATAATACTGCTGCCATTCCTCCTACTTTAAATTTCACTATTAAATATTTAAATATTTAATCCAGAGGGTCTGAATCTGATAGAGAAGAAATTGATGGCACATTACTATAGCTCCTAAGCAATAAAAGTGAGCAACAAAATTGTTCACAGATCAGACAGAAGCCCTAACGTGATATTATTATTATTACCTTTAAAGAGTTAAATCTAGTCCAAAGATAAATTTTAGGGAATCAGGTCAATTATCTCATCAAAAGATATGTGAATCTAGTCTATCTAGTTCATTCAGCAAACCATAATTAAAGAAGCTATGGCTAAATGCAACATATGAACCAGATCATACACATAAACATATATAGGTCTCTTCTGTGCTAAATGATTACTTCATCTTTTATTCCAACCAGATCCAAAATTTCAGCATCTAATTCATTCCCACGTGATATATGAATATGTATGAAGTTGATGATTAAAGTTGATCTCTAAATGTATATTTTACATCATTCACTATGTTGCCATGCTTTAGAATGTTAACAAGAAACCTCCCCACCTTTGCCTGAGGCTGAAATTCAGGGCTTACTGCATCACAGTATAATTTTGTTTATTGAGAACATATTTGACTAACTAGCATTGATCTCACTCCCAAGTAAAGCATGGATACGTTTTCAGCCTGGAAGATATTTGTTTCATTTTAGTTTTGTATAAAGATTAACTAAATGTGACTGTCAAATCTAATTATGTGTGAGAACAGAATATATTGGATGGGAAGAGGTTTTTATTTTCTCTCATCCATTTTATTTTTTTTTGGAATTTTCTCTTTCCACATCTCTGCGGCAGCTCCTTCAACTAAGTGTTTCTTGGGTGAAAGTACAGTTGGTGCTTGTTACTTCTTCAGTCAGGTATTTTAGTGATCTACATCTTCTAGCAGTATCCTATGTAGGTATTGTTGTTTTTCCTTCTGTTCAGTCGGCTCTGATTCTCAGAGATTGTCTTGAAAAGTCTTTGTCAATTTCTTGATAAGTTTTTTTAGAATTTTTTTGCCATTGCCCCTTTCTTTTACTAAGAGAAAATAGAGAAAATAGAGTGAAATTGGCCCAGCATCACCCAGCTGGCCTTATGCCTAAGGCAGGACTAGAACTCACGGTCTTCCAGCTTCTGGTCTGTTGGCTTAACCATTGCATGAAACTGGCTGTCAGTGTACAGTATATGTTACTGCATTATAATGGACAAGCATATAGTATCTCTGGCCTTCAAATATGGTAACAAATAGAGATTGTTGTATTACCTTGTTGCCATTTAACAGATTTTGGTAACCTGGGAGTGGTAAGTATACAACTTATACATCATTAAATTTCTCTTTTATCTAAATAGTTGGGCATTGTCACAATTTAGATTGTTCACGATGGGTGAACAATTTTGCTTTCATGTAAAGAAAAAAACCAGTCTGCTTTCATAGTGTCTAATTTGAGACTGAACCAGTTTTCGTATTCAGTTATATAATGAAAGATGAGGAGAAAGATTTGTACTTGGTTTAATAACTCATGCTTTCAGCCTATTTTTCCTTTTAAATTTATAGACCTTAAATTTGTTAAAATTCTGTGGTTAAACTGTTTGAAATATATTTCTGAACTAGTAATATGCCAAGTTTAGGAAATCACAGTTCATATAATAATCCTTTATACCCTAAATATTAGAGTGATATATAGCTTCATTTCAGGGTTTTTATCTGAAGGCGATTAGGTATCAACTTCATAAATTAGATCACCAATTTAAAATTAAATTATCAATGTGAATGCTCTTCATTTAATTGATGTGTAAAATCAAATCAATCTGGCTCAAATTGACTCAAATTATCAAATTGTATGGAATTAAATTCAGTTTAAATTGAAATAAACTGCATATATCTGCTTAAATTACATTCCAGCTCACTTTAGTTCTTTGTGTAAATTGAAGTATATTTGTGTTTTTACCTCTTAAAATAGAAAAACAGCTAATACCAGATCAATTTGAAAAACTTTGTATGTGCATATAGTATAATCTGGTTAAAATGAGACTGTCGTTTGGTAAATAAACTGTAAAAGGCTGAGTTAATACATTTCTATAATGTAGAGATCATGTTTTACCTCCTATACTTCTCGGTTAAAAAAAGGTAGCTATATCCAAAACAAACATTATTATGGTTGAATCCAGTTAAACCTATGCTGGTATCAGACACACAGTGAAATACTTATTTCTGAATAAACATTTAGGATCTATAGTCAAAATAGAAGTAGAAATAGCTACCATTCATTTCTGACAATATTTTCTCTGTTCAGTTTCTTGTAGTCCATCTTGCAATGTAAAGTCCTTTGGACTTTTTCCACTCATATTCTAACACACTAGAATGAAAATATTGCTGTTCTTTTAATTTACACATACAGCGATCAATTTTAGAATCCCATGCTATGTTTTAGATAGGACACTTTTGAAACATGCTGGTTTTATGTAATGTAAATTACATAAATACATACATATTTACAGATACATATATAAATCTGATCTAATTAAATCATTAGAAAAATTGAACTCATAAGAAATTTTAGCATACCTACATTGGGGTGGGGGAGATATAATCTGGATCCTTTCTGGAATTCAAGCACTTCACTCTTTCCCAATTATAATGCTTCAGCCAGCTCTATCTGTTTCGTTTAGTGCTCTGAATCACATGCATTTACCCTTCATTTAAATGACCCACCTTCAATTAAGCATAACCTGTTGAGCAAAGATGCTGACTCCACCCCAGGTATAGAGACATTCAGTTAACACACTCAATAACTGCTAAATAAAAATAAAAGTGAGAAATATCATTCATATGTTGGAGTTACAGAAAATGAGCCAGGATGTTTGGTTATTATCCTATATTTTCCTAAGAAGTACCACTGAAACTTATGAGCTTTATGGCGAATTTCTTTTAACTACACTGAGATGGTCAAAGGAAGACTCTTCTATGGCCGTAAACACTATATATCTAAGAACTGGGAGCTGTTTCATGAGAAAAGAAGCTTTATTTTACACAAGCCATTATATCTCTTGTTCATTCTACCACAGACAAAAATGAAAGACCAGCTAAAATTTACTTCTCATGCTGCTGCATTCAGAGAATTTACACCCGTGTCTTCTGGATTGCAGTTTGGTACTCATGAGATAAATTCATGCAGATCCAGTAGGCATATGCTTGAAGAACAAGTACAAAAAGAGAAAGAGTTTCAAGAAATCAATCTAACCAGGTCATGTTTCAGCTGTAGGCATTTGTAATGAGTAAACAATAATTTAAAATCTAGTTGGATGACTAGGTCATGCATGGATTTGTTTTTCTTTTAATGAATTCAGCAATTCCTTCAAAAATGATTATCTTTTGTTTTACTTGCTTTTGTCAAACCTTATTTTTTCTGCTGGAAATGACTTTCTGGTGAGTCACAATGGAAAGATGGAATATAAAAGCGAGAAACTCACTCAAATGTGCTGATGCAAAAGGCATGGCACCTGCTTTACTTGG